GAGCCCCATAAATTGTCCCGCATTGCAAAGACAAAGCACATTTGCCGCACAGCACATATGAGTGCGCGCTGAGCGAGGCCGGTGGAGCCGGGAGGAGTGGCTGCAGGAGCCAGTGGAGCTGGAGGAGCAGAGGTAGCTGCACTGCAGCCAATTGGTACGCGCCAGCCACTTGTAAATTATGGCCACAGTCGCCAGCGACAACGACTGCGACGATGACTTTGACTTTTTTCAGTGGAGCTGGAGGAGGATGGAGGCGCGTATGTATGTGTGTATGTATGTGCGGAGGAGCTGTGCCAGGTTGCCAGGCGAGCGACATTTTTGGCCAGCCATTGGGGGACAATCACTTGTGGCTTTAAGATATTTGCCATCTGCGCATTTTGTTGCAATGTATTTGAACTTTGGATTCCGATTCGAATCCCTGGCCAAATGGATTGCTTAGCGATTGCTAACTGCCCCTATCGCATATAAAAAGACATTCAATCGGATAACAGTGGATCGATAGGTTTGCGTAGAGCTATCGATACGCATACAGCTTTTGGATTATTAATGGCTCGAACACAGTCTTATTTGGATATTATTAAATAGTCTCTATATAAGAAAATGCTTAACAAGCAGTTAAATTGTTGACAAGGGCTTATACTGTATGAATAGATCTATGAATTGACAGCACACAATTTTTAGCATATTAATCAATCGAATTCTTTGTCGTTTGGTCTATCATAATATTAAATAAAAATATTAGATTTTGGCAGTAATATATTTAACATGAAGTTAAATTGTTGGCAAGTACCTGTAGTCCTCTCAATGTAGAGTTCTACCTATAGACGGCCGTAGTTCAGTACTATACTAAATCTTAGCTCTACTTTTACTGCCTGACACATGATTAAATATCGATAAATTATCGGTAACTGCTAAAATATCTTAAGCAAAATCGATAAGCATTTAACATTTAAGTCTAAGTCGTAAACATAAAGGTAAATTTCAGCAGACTCACTAAGACTTCATTCATATTGGCTTAAAAAAGTATATCGATTATCAATCAAGATATCGATAAGCCCAGCTGCAGAGCACGCCCATTGTACTCAGTCAGACCTGTCGCCCCTAGCAATATCTGCTCTTGGCACTCACTTTTATTTTGTGCGGCACACACCCCCCGCCGAACACGCCCTCTCTCACGCACACACACACACACACACACACACACACACACACACACAGACGCGTTGCAAGTGAATGTGTGAAATTTGTGCCATAAATTTGCACATTACACGAAAAGTTAACACGAATTACTGTTGTAAGTGAGCAAAAATTACAATTGTGCAGCACGGGGTCTCGAGCACAATGCAGAGGGCACACAGACGCACCCCAACATGGCGACAAACACAGAGAGAGAGAGAGAGAGATAGCGATGGGGAAAGAAAGCGGCAAACAAGCTCTGTGTATTGAATGTCCATAAATTTTAAAGAATTTAAGAGTTAAGCTGATAACAAATATATGAGAGCTGCCTGAAAATTACTTAAGTTGCACAGCTGAAAATGCGCCATGAATACCTACAGCTTATGTGGGTGGATCGAAGCACTATATCATGGGTTTGTAATTATCGATTATGTGAAGCCAACTTGACATTTTCAAGGCTCTAGCTCTTGTGGGTTTCGAGATGGATGAGTTCGTACATACCTTTTATTATTATTAATGCAATCGAGTATCTATAATTTGATTTACACAGAATTTCAAATAATCGAGAATTATCGAGAGCTCATTTTCTTTAAGGGCATATAAGTTTGATCGATATATCGATTTTCGATTTCGAGACTCTACTGTATTATGCAATCACTGCCATCTGATCAAATGAAAGCTAATTAATTTATCGATAAGTTACAGTTGCTGGCTGATATATCATTTGATCCCGATGCGATCTGCTATCATAAGGCGATTTAACAACCCTCGATGACTCCTTAGACAAGTCAATTTCATAAACAGCACTACCAAGACCTACCTCAAGCCTAATACGCGGTAAGACGGTGCTAGCCGGTAAAGCTTTATGAATTTTTAAAGTTTTTCAGCTACAATCAGTCAAGTTGAGTGCTCAGCCAGGGACATTTATGGCCGTTGCTGCTGGTTTCAATAATTATCACACATCCGGATGGCAATGGCTTATTCAGCATTTGAAAATAATTGATGCCTCTAATGGCTTTTGCTGGCTGTGCCATAAATAGGCATTGGCCACGGCATGGCAATGTTGGCCAATATAAACATGGATAATACGAGTAAGGCATGGCGTTGGCCATGTGGGCTGTTGTTGTTGGGCTGTATTTTCGGGGTATTTGTGAATCTGTCTCTCGTGAAGTGAATGCATTTGGCATTTTGTGGTCACTTTGTGGCATCCGAATGCATTTAGCCTGATCGCAATTCGCAAATCGGTTTTGGTGCCGCTTTGCTGGCGATTTGTGCACTCTATGGCATTTGGCATGCAATTGTGGCCAAAAGCACTCCATGAACGACTATTTACAATCAAATTGATGGCTGGCAATCGGTTATGCGAGTAGCCAACTGCCGGCTAACAGCTAACAGCCACCAGCTGCCTACTGCCACAGTGAAGCCCCATCCAAATTACGCTCCGCTTAATTTGTATGGAAATAACTCAACTCAGCTGAATAATGGTAAACTTACAATTAACTCTTAACCAGCTTTGGCGGACATTGGAAAAATTGATTTTATTCAATTTGTGCCCATAATGCGTATAAATATTTATTTAACATACTGTTTATGTGCTCAAAACACAGCTAACATACTTCAATATGTTATATTTGCAGTTAACACTACTTGGGTTATGTGTACTTGACATACATTAACATACATAAATTTAACAGGCTTTCTTCATTAGCTTACTGTTATGTAAAAGTCACCTGACTGTTAAGTAAAATTGAGGTAATGTTAAGTGAGCATACGTAAACTAAACACACATACACATACTAACTTCCATTCTGTTAAGTAAAAGTAAACTAATTCTACTGTTAAGTAAAAGCACTGTAAAAGTATGGCAATGTTAAGTGAATATACCTCACATACTTAATACTAACATCCTTGTATTTAACATATTTATATTTAATATATACACTGCTATATATCAACTTAAACTTATATTTAGCATATCTTCACATATATATTCTTATACTTAGCTGACTTATGCTTGACTTATATATTAATATATATTATATTATAATTATACCTTCTTTTACGTAACATATAAAACAAACGTACTTATATTTAACTTACTTAATTTATTAATACTTACACTTGATTTACTTACACTTATATTATAAGTATGTGATCTTATACTTCACATACGTATACTTAACATTTCTGCCCATCATCTTATTTAAGTATTCATGATATAATCTTTTGTAGTGTAGTGATACATATATTGGATATTTAACGGCTCGTTTCAGAGTAGAATAAAAATTTAAATTTCTGTTACAAATAAACGTTTGACAGTTCGTAGCTGGATAAATGATATATGCTTAAGATATAGTACCAGCGCTTGAGTCTTATAAGGGAAGACATAAGTCTCTCTCTGGCACAGCTGCTCGGCGTATTTATAAGCATTTTGTATGCGTCTCCACAGAGCTCGTATAACGATATAATTATTTTTCTTTTTCCTTCGTTTTGGGTAGAAAAAATATGGAATAAATAAGGGAACAAAAAGCGCTGCATACTTTCATGCTGCTCTATAAAATATTTAACGTGCTTTTCATTGTCTCGATGGTCGTTGTTTTCACTGCTTGTTGTTGTAGTTGTTGTTGTTTGTTGTGTGTGTGCTGTTGTTGTTTTGTCTGTTTATATGCATAAATTTTATTACACATGTGCTTTTGTTTATGCGACGCAAAAGTTAATGCAACATAAAATTTTCGTTTTTTATTTATCACTTGTTGTTCGTCTTTTATTTTTATATTTTTCTGTTTTGAGTATATCCCATCCATCCCGGGGGAGTGCAGGCTTACAAAAAAAATAAAAGAAAATAGACCAAAATCAAAGGGAAATACAATAAAAAAAAAAGTAAAATTTATATAAATATATACATATAGATGGGAATGAAACACAAGAAGGACATGGCAAGCACACAATAAAACTGCCACACACATGCCGCACACACACACACACATTCAGAACTGGCATAAACCACAGACGTGGCACGGCGTGCCACGCCCACAAGGCCATGCGCATTCATATATCACAAATATGCTAAATCAGCATATTTGCGAGTTTATTTACAAGGACATTTATAAAAATTTACGGCCGTGCCGTAAATTGCAGCCGCCGGGCAGGTCTTGAGATTTATGCCTCGCCGATTATATCAAAAGAAGCCACGCCACACCCTCTCCCACTCCCTTACTCCCTCACTCATGCCCTCAGCGTCGGTCTCTTTCACACTCGCATCTGCTTATCGCTAAGCAGCGATTTCTCACATAATTCAAAAGTCGTTCCATATAAAACAAGGGCTGCCAGACGTCTGAAAAGAAGTTGAGCCGGGTCAAGCCACGCGATGCGATGCGATGCGAGTTTAGGGAGCGAAAGATGTGACCCAATTTAGATAGGGTTAAGTAGGCGTAGCTCGATTCAAGCAAATGTCACGGCAGCTTTTGTGAAATTATAATTAAAGCAGCTCGCACAGCTGCACGAAGGGCCAACGTTTGTATGAAACGCTTACAAATGCCAAAGTGTTATACGACACAGCCATTATGACAGCCTATGATCCATGCTTGCTCCATGCAATTAAAAAATGTTATACTGACCTTTTTACGTGCCCATTCATAAGCATTTGACAATCAGATTGTCATAAAGTGAAGTTCATTATACTTCAACTGTTATACAGCTAATAAAAAATGTCGAACTTTTATAACAGCACACATTAAAGTCAATTGTTATACAGTTTTGATTGAAGGAGCTCACATGTGCAGCGAATTTAATGTACATACTAATAAACTGTTATACTGTTCGCAATCAAATGCGCTCTTTAGAGGAGCCCATATACTTTAATCTGTTATATAATATATGTTATATTGTTATATTTTATATAGAACGTAAGCTTGATCCGATTTCAATGTGACTCTTATTCGTATGACAATAAACTGTTATACTGTTATATGTATAATTGCACGTAACATTGGAATGAAATGTTGCACTGAAAGAGATAACGTATGAAATAAATTCAATGTAAGCTTAATATTGGTATAAATTATTACTAAATAGATTACTATACTGTTATACGATTATGCTACAGAATACCTTTAAGCATTCTATTAAAACTATATGATAAAAAATACCTTTAAACATTCTATTGAAACTACATATATAATATTCTACTTCGACATACTGCTATACTGTTATATGAGTTTTTCTATTGTCTAAGCATAAACTGTTATACGCTTTTCATCTAAAGTCAGCTCAAAGACTAAATTTTGGCTACAGACTTTAGTAAAGCTCTAATTCTGTTACATGTATTACTATATATTTTGACTCTTATACCAAGTCCGAAGCACGTAACGCTTAAATATTATAGGCATGATGCTCTTTATCTCTGAGTAAAATTCTGTGGGTGTTTATTCTATTTTAACAAACATTCTTTCTAGATGACAAGCTCTGATGCTTTTTATCTCTGGGTGAAATTCTGTCTATCTTTGGCTTATCTTGGCTAAGATTTTTTCTAAATGCCATTGGCTTAGATTCTTAGATTCTACATAGATCTGTCGAATTGCAGCTCATTGTGCGCCTTGTAGATCTAGATGTCTGAGATCTTGTTGTGCAGAAGCAGTGAAACCCAAGCGGAATCTATGCATTCATTTGGCTAACTTTGGAGCGACCTTCTCAAAGAGTCAATGGCTGCCCCTTGCCACTTGCCACTTGCCGCTTGCCACTTATTCCCGGGTCATTCATCATTGATTACTGTCATGCTTCATCTTCGTCTGTGTCTTCATCTTAAATCAATTTTGTTGCTGCTGCTGTTGCAGCTGCTGCATGGGGCCGCTGTACCGCTGTGCCGTTACACAAATATCATTGGCGTTAATCCTTTTCTACATCATCAAACAATTTCATCAAATAAATCTAAAGTGATTTGTATTTGTCACACAGTTTTCAACTGCTGCTCGTCAGTCGCGTTGCATGCCCCATGGCGTTCTATTGCCAACATGTCTGCAACATTTTCAGCTTTGACTTCAACTTCGACTCCCAGCTCCAGCTCCAGCTCCCAACTCCAACTGCGACTGAGAGCAGCGAGCTCCAGCTGCACGCTTCGTCTGATTTTAAACGCTGTAGCATTTTATTTATTTTACTTGACTTATTTTTTTCAGCTATTCCTTTTTTTTTTTTTCTTTTTTGGCTTTCCTTTCTTTTTTTTTTTTTTGGTACGTTTTTTGCGCTGTTGCGCTGACTGCTCGCTGATTGACTGCCATTGCTGGAGTCAGCTGCCCCGGCAACCAAAAGCCGTGCCACATGCCCACATCATTCCCGGCAGCATCCATCGCAGCATTTGCAGCATGTTTACTTTGCTACATTTCTCATTTAATGCCTTGGCAATGACGTTGACTCGCCGGCTCTGGCGGTGATTGAAAAGTTTGTTCTAGCTAGCATCGCAGTGCATGAGGAGCCGTCAGCCGCGTGCAACGCGCTGCACTCTCGCCACCCAAAACTTGGCTGCGGTGAGCTACTGTTAGACTTGCCACAGCTTCCTTTGCTTTAAGATTGCAATCAAAAATGTTTACAGCAAATTATATACAATAAGCATATTGTGTGACCAATGGGTAAATCAATTGCAATAGCACAGTAATATAACCCTAATTTTTATTGTACCTGTAAATTATATCCTTGCCATTATAAATTGCAGGTATATCATATCTCACAACTTCCTCGACTTGGCCTAACTTTTGCAGTTCTTCTTCTGTGCTGATTGCCATAGCAGCTACGATTTCTTCATTGCGTTGCAAAGCTCTTCCGTATCTTGACTAGGAAAGGGAAAAGAGTCTACTCCTGCCCAGACTTGGCAGCCTGCACTGCAGCCACAATAACGATCTACTTCACGATGTGGATTAACAATTCAGCCAGGATTTTCATTGAGTTTTTAGTCATTCGACAAGCTTAAACTGAGCTATCTTAATTTTTTTTTTTTATTTTAATAATGTTTATTAAAGCTATGCGGGGTACTCCAGTAACCTGTTTGTGAGCTTATTATCAATTAATTCCGTCCATTTGAGTCGGAATCTAGTTATTAATGCTAACAATAATAGCTGTTACAATTATAAGCACACATACATACATTCAAAGGGCAAATCTCATATAGATGCATATATTTAATATGTATATATAATTTATAACTTATATGCAGTCGAGTTTCGACAATTTTCGATCGCGATAAGTCGATAAAAATTATATCTCCCTTTTTTTAATTTCAATTATTTCTGTGTATGTCGAAAAAAAATTGATAAACTGATCCCGAATTTTAAGTTGCGCTTTAATAATTGTTATATAAGATTTAATAATGATTGTATGCACATTTGACAAACATAAATTGACCGGTAATTAAATGGTGAATTCTGTTTAACATTTTGAAATTATAGTCTTATTGCTGTATTCAATAAGTACATAAATATATGCATCTAAAATACTATCAATATTATTTTACATACACTAGAGAGAGAAGTTTTAATTTTAAGTTGTAGTTTTTTAATTAAGTTAATTTTTGTAACTTTTATTTTTAACTTTAATTTCTATGTAGAAAAGGATAATGTTTCTTGTACTCCTAAATAAAAGATATGTCAAACACAACACTTTTCTATACCATAAATCGATTAAAAATAAATATTAAAATATTAAATATTACAAATATATTACTCTTTAGAAAAATACTATCACTATTGCCTGCATGACAGAGGAAAAGCAAAGTATATTAAGCCTTTTTCATGTCACTTTTTCTATGGCTTACACATTCGTTGCATCACTCTGCAAGCAAACTGCCATAAGTATATTTTTCTATGATCATTTTCGAAAATTTTCCAATGCATATGGCATGATGGAAAATGTGTTTACTTTCAATTAGCATAGAGACGACACGAAGCCAGGCACTCAATGGTTACTCTTGCAGCAAGTTTTCAACGCAAAATGCGCTTTGATAGCCTGTCAGTGTGTGTGTGAATGTATGTACGTGTGTGTGTGTGCATGCACTTGACATTTTCAATTTGCTGGCCATCAAGCGCCAACTATGAATTGCAACGTTAACGCGCCCAGCAAACTTCATTTTCTGAGCTCTCAAAAAAAAAAAAAAAAAAAAAGAACAGAGAAAAGAAAAACGAAAACAAAAGCAAACGAAACCAAACAAAAAAAAACATGAAATTACTTTGCTGTCCCTTTGGCATTTGACAGGCGGGCGAGGGGTAGAGCTGAACACAAGCCCGAATTCATATTATTAATGGCCATTTGTGTTTTGGCCGCATTAAAGTTTCCTTTTGCAGCTGGCCTTAAAGTCGGCCTGCAACATTTATGGCATGCACAATTGAGTTTGCCAGAGGAGTCACAAAATGGCCGCGAGTCAGCCAATACGCATACACACACACACACACATATACACACGCACACAGACAGACACAAGCAGCAAACAAATAAATAAATAAACCGTTTGCCGGCTTTGTGCGCATTGTTCGCATTGTTGTTGTTGTTGCTGTTTGTGTTTGTTGCATATTCATGCGCGCTAAAAAGTATGCAGCAATTGCGCTTGCACACACACACACACACACACAGACACATATACAATATGTATATATATGTACATGCAATATATATAAATAAATAAACAAATGCCGCATACGGCCGACAAACAGAAATGGAATTTGCTGCGGATTTAACTGGGCGTATGCGTAATTTTTTATGCACATTCACAAAAGCGAGAAGTGAGTATATTCGTTCTTTGCACTGTCCGTCTGTCTGGCTAGCCGTCTCACTGTCCGATCCGTTCGTCTATTCAGCTGATGAAATTAGGAACTTATACTTGGCATCAAGTTTCAAGATTTTCTCGATACGCCCACTGGGGGCGTGGCAAAGCATAAAATACAGAAACCAAGGTCGTTAAACTGATAGAGAATTGAAATTTGAAACCTACGCTTGCATTATCAAGTGTTCGCGGTACGCCCACTGGGGGCGTGGCTAATCAGAAAATGAATTCCTGGTATTTTAGAAATCCTTGACATGTGTAGAGAATCGAAATTTGGAATTTTTACTTGGGTTGGCAGCTCGAAATCACTATGACATAGTGGACATATCAACGCCCATTGGAGGCGTGGCAAATAGAGTAAAACCATATTTTCCATTACTTAGGCATGAACATACGGATATACAAAGATCGTATACATACCTGCCTAATGTGTGAGCCAAACAGATAAGGATAAGACAAGGATAAAAATATTTAATAGAGAAGAGTCTTATAACCACAGCGATTAAATAAGAATACGTAATAGACCTATGCTGAGCCTTACAAGCTCAGCAATAGACACAATAGATCTAAGGGCTGAAAATATGCATGAGTATATGACTATGAGTATAAATACCCGGACTCAGAGGAAGGAAGATCAATGGGTAACTAAACACAATCATAGCTAGGAACTTAAAATTTAACGGCTCTATTGATAGGCCTAATAATATATATATATATGCCAATTGGGGGCGTGGCAAATCGGAGAGTGGATCTGACAGCGTTTTTGCCTTAAATGAGTACTCTGCAGTCGGTAGGGCCCGACTGCAATGCTCTTACTTGTATTTTTCTGCTCTGTTTGCCAGGCCTGCCTGCCCGCTGGCGCCTGCCAAAAACTTGTGCAGCCACAACATGTGGCAAGCTTAGAGATGGCTCTGCACTCACACACACACACACACGCACCCATAGTTTGCATTTGGCGTGCATTGCAATTTTCTATTTGGCAACTTTGCTATTTTTTTTTGTTGTTGTTGTTGTTGTTGTGGTTGTTGTTGCT